AGCATATAAGAAACTGTTCCACCACGAGGGAGGGTATGACTAACTTACGATAAGAGAAAACAATTGGACATTACAAGCAAATAAAAAGAAAGAGAGAGGAGAATTAGGGTGGTCATGATAGTCTGTGACTGCATGTTCCTATGAGAATCATTAGCAAGTTTTAAGTAAAGGAAAAAATGGTTTGATATAAATAAATAAGTAATATGATAACAGTAATCCTTAGTGGGCGTTTGCCTAACCCAATGGAGATTTCTGTGGTATGTACTTAGCTTTCATATGAGGGTCTTATTCTCATTCACGCCATGCCTATTTACACCGTTCTTGTAAGGATCTCCAAATGGCATTGCTCAGACAGCAGAGGACAGAGGAACACAGCCAAAATACTACAGCTGGCCTCATACCACACAAATCTGCCATCTGCACCCAGCCATGCACGTGCCCAGGGAGGGTTACAGGGGCTGCATTTCTTTGTTATTAGATGCTTTGTACTGCCAACACAATGTAAAGGGATCTTGGTGTGACTGCAGCATGTTTTCAGTGCCACAGCCCAATTTTGTTTGAGCATTAATGTAAATAAATCACTTTATTAAGATGCATAGTTGAACTGGAGCTGCCTGGGACAGCAAACATTACTGTATGTTTCAATGAGAGGAAGATGAACAGAACACAAAGGTACATGTTTAGAGAGGTATCTACTCTCCAGTCTCCTTTCTGATCTGAGGTCACCCTGCCATGTCATGGGCCTTTAATTATTCTGAGTCTCCATTTATGAAGGGCACCTCCTCAGAAGTCAGGATGAGTTTTAGTCCTCTTTGCCTGCAGGAGGTTTTGGTCAGTGATGCACAGTGATATAACAAGACATCTTAAACATAAAGCATTTAGCAGTTGAAACAAAGTATTTAGTGGGGAAAAAAGATAAATAAGATTTTTTTAAAATATATTCATTCATGTATTTGTAAAGTAAAATTTACAAGGCAACCACAGGAAACTGGGCTCCATCAGGCACTCAAGTGTCTCAGATTAATTCTCCCAGACAATTCTCAGCCTTTTGTGAATGTGCTCCTTTTTTCACTTTCCTTATTCTTTTTCCCTCCAGTGCAAAGAAGCCTGGCACTGTCCCTCAGCTATTGTTTGTAGAAAAGTGGCTTATCTTGAGCCATACTTTTCCTTTCATTTTCCTTTTGAATTGAACCGTTCTGTTCATGGGGCAAAGTCAAAACAGGGTACTCATAAATTATCAGAGTGGTTCCCCTTTCATCACAGACATAAACACATTGAAAATCTAGTTGGTGAAGCTGGAATTCCCATATATTCTTGGAATTTATAGCCTAAACTAAGTGAGAATGTGGGTATAGTATCACAAAACAACCATTCTGACATCTTTCATGTAGGACAACATCCATAATAGTGTTTCCATAATAATTACTATTTCTCACTGTGAAAAACAGCACTTGTCATCTCTTTCACTCTCTAGCATTCTTGTGAAGGAGAATTACTTGAACTGACCAGCAGTGTATTGCCAAAACAAAAACCAAACAAACAAAAAACCCACTAAAAAACAAAACAAAACAAAAAAAAACCACAACAAAAACAAAAACAACAAACAAAATCAAAACCAAAACAAACAAACAAACCCAGAGCAAACCGACTAGGAGCACCACAGCTTGGTAGGAAACACCGATAATGTGTGATGGCCTGACACAAATGCTATATCATTAAAATGTAACAGTAGTATATATTTCATAAGCCATTCTTCTAAATCAACTCAGCCACTTCACATTGCTTCTGGTTATCTCACCCAATCAAGTAAATTACTAATGCTGCCCACGGAGAGAGAATGAGGGGGCTTACATCTGTCAGCGGGTTTGTTGTGTTTTCCTCTCCTCAGAGTATTTTCTATAATTTTTAAAGGGCTTGGCCCAACTAAGTCCTCCCGGTAGCTCTAGTAGATGTACCTATCGGCGGCAGCAAGTGCAGTCTTTACCACAAAAGGTACTTTGCCGTGTGACCTGGAAGGCACATCTGGATGCGGGAACCGAACTGTCCGGCAGCAGTGCCAACGGGTGGAAAATGTGAGCACTAACAGAAGCTGAATTTGTCAATAGATTGAAAAAAAACCACCCAACAACAGCATCACATCGCCCGCTGGCTGCCCCGGAGCAGGGCTTTCATCGCCTGCCCACTCGCGGAAGGACCACACCGCCCTGCCGAGGAGATCTGTCCCTCCGCCGGGGACAGGGAGGGACTCTGGCCACCGGCCCCTCTCTGCTGCCGCCCTAAGCCCCAGCTTTCTCCCGGGGGCTGGAGCCGCCCTGGACTCCCGCCCCCCCGGCAGGCCGCTCATCAGGGCGCTCTCCCGACTGGCGCTGCACACGCCGGCTGCCCGGGGCGGTGCCGTCGAGCTGCTCCCACTTCCTGGAGACCTGTAAATACAGCTCTGATTTGAATGTTATTTTTTTCACCTCTGCAGCCTTTACAAAGTAAGGACTACCTGTTGCATACTCATGCGGCAGCGCCGGTGCTGCCTATTCGTAGGAATCGTTTACTGGGAGACGGAGGCCAGGGATATCCGAGCGGTCTCGTCCCTTCCCCGGGCAACGTGGCCTGGCACCGGCCCCGGACTGGCACTGCCAAGCGCCAGCCGCGTGGTCTCGCCCTGGCCACCCGCCCCGTGGTGCGCGGTGCCCTCAGGCTCCAGAAGCTCCTGGGGCTTTTGCCTTTCGGCGAGATGCCTTGATCCTAGCTGAGCGGAGCGGGGGACAGAGTGCTTCAGGTTGCTGCCCTCCCCAAATGCCCGGGACTGTCCTCCCCAGGGCACGCTGCAGTCTCTACCATTCAGACGTGGGTGATCTGAGCCTCCCAAGGACTTCAGGAGCTAAGCACGCATTCACCGCCTTCGTCTGACAAATAAGGCAGCCACCGCGGCTTCTCCAAGGTCCCGCTGTGCCCGAGCGGAGGCATCGGAAACATCCCGACTAGAGCTGCTCTGCTCTCCCCATTAGGCTGTGCCTCTTTCCCACGCCTGAGCCTCTCCTCCCTTTCATTTACTCTCCAGGTGCTTTGCAAATGTAAGAGCTGTAATTTCATGTCCCCCTGCTCCAAAAGGACAGATCCACGCCTTTTGTAGTTTAGCCACAGCCAGGAACTTGCTGATGCCGTCGGATACACAGCTCTGCCTCTCGGTGAACCTGTGTCTGCCTTGAGTAGAGAGATAATGCAGTGGGTGTTATTTTGTTGCTGCCAGTCCCTGGAGAGAGCGTTTTCATGAAGTCTTAGCTCGGGGAAAAGAAATAATAAACGGGCAACACTATACAGTTCATGGCTGGGAAATTAAAATTTCTTACCAAATGAGGCTCTCTGATAGGAAACGGCGGGCAGAGGCGCCCCTATAATAAAGCGTGCGAGGAAAGTAGTTTGTCCGGCGGGAGGAGAGCAGCCTGGCTGGCTGACAGAGGGGGCGGATCTGCGCACAGAGCGGGCAGAGCCGCTGCGGAGTCGGCCCCAGGCAGCGCGGGGTCTATTTCAGGAAGCCTCGGGCGGAGCGGTGGCTGGAGCTGGAG